GGGCTGATTCGGCGCCGAAACGGAGCGGCGCCGAACCCGCTTACGCGGCCGGTAGGGGCTCGGTCTCCGTTCGTTCGGAGTCGGCTTTTCTGCTGTTTCTGAATTGCAAGGGGATTGAGGGACGGTTGGACGCGAGCGGGATCCAGGCGTTCGCACGTTGAATCTTTTAGGCGAGCGTTTAGGGCAATGGTTCTCAACCTCAGCAACTTTAAGCATGCTGGCTGGGGGATTTCTGGGAGTTGAAGTCCGCCCATCTTAAAGTTGCTGAGGTTGAGAAACACTGCTTTAAGGTAGTCATCCGCCTGGGAGGTTCCTGTTAATTTCCACTCGACCCTTTTCTTCCCTCTTCTGTAGACAGAAATGACTTTCTCTGCAGCGACTTGGTGTAGAAGGCTTTATTAGAAGAGAGACATACCATGTATTTGAGGGACTAGCCTCCCTTCATTGGGTGCCTTCCAAAGGTTTTGGGCTTCACCTGTCACAATGCAGACAAGCGATATGGGAGGTCAAGTTCCACACGTTGTCAGAGCACCAGATTCAATGGAATAGTTATGCTGTCCTTGAAATTAGTGTGCTAGGACTACAACACTCAGAATTCCCAGCCAGTATGGTGGTGGTTAAGAGAGTTCTGGAAGTCACAGACCCAGCAAAGTTGTAGGAGGTCAGAGCTGCCATATCAGTAACCTGTTAAAGCTGGGAAACCTGCAATCCAACAAAGTCTTCCATAAGTCGCTTAAAGGTCACACAGGAGGGAGATGATTGGATACATGAAGAACAACCATGCCATTCTTGTTTTTTATGTTATTTTAACCAATTGCAAATAATTTTAAATCTAACAGGACTTAATCAAATTAAAACAATTAAATCCAATTCTGTTTTTGTCCGCTTCTTGGAGAGTGGCTGCTCCGAGGACACCCAGGCTAGGATCTTGGTTGTGGTGGGGAAAGAAAATGGGAGGCGGAAATGGGAGGCCGCCCTTGGGGAAGGATGGTTTGGTATCTAGAGGCAATCCTCCTTCCAGCTCTCTTACCTCATTTTGGATGCCAGGATTCCAGGTCCTCAGGCCCAGGAGTTTCAGCTACTGCTCTTAAATGCCAGATCTTTCTGTAATAAGAAATTCTTCATCCATGACTTAATTTTGGATGAGAGGTCAGACTCGGCATGTATTACTGAGACTTGGGTGGGAAAAGGAGGGGTTCTCCTTTCAGAAATTTGCCAGGGTTTTGGGTTTGACATCAGCCATGGTCTCTGGACAGGGGAAAGATGTAGCTGTTGTCATCCATGAGACTGTTGGCATCTAGTGGTGCTACCCAGGAAATAGCTGGGGGTGAGACCTTATTTGTGTGTTTGGACCAGAGAAGCCAGTTGGGCATGATCCTTGTGTACCTTTGCACCACTGCACTGTGGCAGCCCTGCCAGGATTGCTTGACATGATTGCTAGGTTAGAAATGAAATACTGGGGGGCTTCAACTTGCCTTTCTTCATTGAGGGGTCTGGAGCAGTCCAGGAGTTCATGGCCACCATGACAACCATGAACCTGACCCTACTTATTGAGGGCTTGACACACTGGAAAGTCACCATTTCTGGTCTCTCTCAGGGCAGACTGCACATAATCTGAAAGTAGGGAGTGCTGAACTTTGCCCCTTCTCACTGATCACTGTCTTTGCTATGGAGTTGGGTGTAATGACTCCCTTGACAGTGGGGAAGTACCCATTAGATTGGTCTGCCTCAGGTGCCTAATGGATCCTATGGATTTTCAGAAGGCTCAGGGAATTTCCAGGGATCTGGCAGGCAGTTTGGTTGAAAGTCTAGTTGTTCATTGGAACAATATTGCATCTGGGGCTTGGGACTGGATTCAGTTGAGTGGCTTCTCCCTGTGCCCAGATCTACTGCTAATTCTTGGTTTACTGAGGATCTCAGTAAAGAAGATGAAATAGCAGAGGAAATGCCAGGAATGCTGCTAGAGAAAAGTCCCTCTTGAGTCTGACCAGACATTAGTGGGAGCTTATGTTCAAGTCTATACAAAACAACTTGGCCAGCAAAAAATAAATATTTTGCTTTTCTTATTGCGTTGGCTGAATGCCACCCAGCACCTCTTTTTAAGATGACCTGCTCCCTTTTAAGGAAGAATGTTTGCCTCCTGTGTTCACTGGGGGTGGAATTGTTACTCCAAAACAGGAACAAGAAGAACGGGGAAAAACAGAATTCACACAGAGCCTTAATTTTTATTTCTGCTGTCATGTGTGGAGCAAATCTTTAGAGGTAAGAGCATAATAATGAGTTCTAGTCATCTGAAAAAGGTGTTAAAGCTTTTTATAAGACTTTAAACTTTTGGAGAGAGAATAGATTGGAAGCAAGGCAGATATTTAAGAAAAATATACCTGGCCCATCATACTGCTTATTTACAGAATGAGGATCAGCTATGAACATATAAGTCTATTTTCAAATAATTGTATACTGTTCATTAGTCCATTTAACACATCAGCAGAATATAATTGGCTGAACTATGATCAGTAGAAGGTGTAACACATGTGCCTTATAGTTGCTTTGTTTCTACTAATGAATTAATTACCTTTGAGCTGTAGTCATCTATAGCTATTTTGTTGAAACGAATGTATATGTATTCAGCATGTACAAGAACTAGATTGTTTCCTTTAGAATTATAGCTCTATAATTTATTGAACTGCAGATGAGGGAGCAAGTAACCTAAAAAATCACAGCGGAATATACATAATGGGGTAGAGAGGAACTTAACCTCTGTGTCTTCTTTATTTTAAAGTAAAATCTGAACATGCTGTGGTTATAAACCATGCACATTAATTGCATAATCACAATTAACAACATATTACATGTAGTTTGGGCCTTAGGTGTTCCTGTATAATTGTCTTCCCTTCAATCCTGGGCCTCCTGCTTCTGCTGTGTTACAGCTGTCAGTATCTGACAGCAGACAATTGAAATTGTGGTTCAACACCTAAGAGAGCATCAGATTGAGCAAAGATATACTAAAAACATTCATGGAAGATTTATCATTTAAAGATTTCCCAATTTCTTTTGACCAAAAGCCTTTCTAAAGAGCTAAGTGTTGTCACTTTTCTTTTCTTTGGTACCAGATTAAAGCCCATGCATTTGGAAGTCTTTACATAATAAATGACTTCTTTTAAACACCAGCTTGAGGTATACCTGTTCCTTTGCTCTTCCACTGTTCAGTATTATCCATTCCTCCTGTTATTTCTTACAGCAGTAGTACTATTGGAGAAAACATCTGATTGTCCTTGAAGTGTTAATACTGTATATTTCAGAGTAGCTCTGGATACAGTTAGAAAGAACCTCCTGAGAAGACACCCATCGTCTACTGAATATCTTACCCATTATTACCATAACATTTAAAAGGAAATAACTTCTAAAACAGCCCTGAGGCTCATAGAGAATTTTTTCTCTCTTCTTTCTTTGCAATTTTCAGAATGGCAGAGCCAATTTGTCATTCCATGAAAGAAATGACAACACTCATCCATCTTTAACAATTCTTCCTGGTGGTTTTGCACATTATGTCTCAGTGTCCAGTAACAATAGGAAACAACTGTCTTCCAGGATATAAAAAAAGAATTGTAGAGCATTAGTGTATCAAAGATCTGTAGTAGTTTGGGTGAGAATTTAGTACAGATATAGCATCACAGACCTCTCCCAAATCTTTATTTTTTAAACAAAGTAAGTAGGTTATGCAATGCAACAGTAGAAACTGCTGTTTAAGAAAAACAATTAAGACAGCTATGATTTCATGCAAATGCTTTCTTTGGATTCTAAATCCAAAGGTCTATGTAACCAACAGAATTTATACCTACCAATATTTTAAGTCCTATTCAGATTTGCAACCATAAATAAGGGACACTTTTGACTGGGTGCACATACCACACCAAGATTTTAAAATGGTTTTTGAATATCAGTTGGCTCAATCTGCACAGTAACAATCATTGGTTATAAATCACACTGTCTGGGTCTACGAAACAAACTAAACCAAAACTAAACCATGCTATGGCTTGTGCAATGCACAAGTTGAGCCTTCCTGTTGTTGCTGTTAAAATTGAGTGCTTCTCATATTTGATGTTTTGGATCAAGAAAAGAGGTAGCATAATCTGCTCCCAACGGACTTGGGCACTGAGGTGGAAACTGCTCTCTACAATTCCCAACTACCTCCGTCTTCCTTTCCAAAATCCTTCCTGAAATGTTATTTAATTATTTATTGTGGTTATAAACTGTCCTGTAATTGCAGTTCTCTGCATTAAGAACATGAAATGCGAACCAATAATAAAACAATGACAGTAAGATCCAATCACAAACAACCTTTGGGTTATTTGAAAAGACTGGGCACTTCCACCTTTGCAACGTGCCTGGAACAAAGAATCAGATTCATGGCCTGAACTGGGAAAAAATAAATCCAACCACTGTGGAACAACCACTTTTTAAGACCCAGTTACTTTCCTTGATCCATATTGGGAAGGTGAATAAGGCAGCAGGGATGTTAATATCACAATGGCTATCAAAAACTTTTACTGTTCCCATTCTGCAGTTTGGATTTTTAAGATGACTTGCAGCCATGCAACTAACTTTCAATTCAACAAATTCTCCAG